CCCCCCCCACCCCCGCAGGCCTCCGGCCATGCCCACCTGCCCCGTGTTAACCGCCTGTGCCCACGCCCTGCCCTCGTTCCGATTCATATTTATATTGTGCTAAGTCTGACGGTGGGATGGGAGTGCCCCCTCTCACTCGGTTTCTGTTGGCTTTCCCGCCTAGACCGTCCTTTTTTCCGGAGGCAAATATACATATATAAATAAATCTATAAATACTGCTTTGTATCCAAGCTTGCGCCTCAACTGTTCTTGAAGCCCACCAGTGGACCCCCTCCTCATCAGTCCCACCAGAGATTATGCTCTCATCCAGCTGAGCCCCAGAGGAGAAGCCTTGTTCCTAGCGGGTCAGGGCTAGACCTCAATCCAGTTGATCAGAGATTTATTAAATAAATACATGTTACCTGTTAGGTAAGGAATAGATGGCAACGAGGGGGAAAGACCCTGACCTCGAGAATCTTCTGGTCTGTGGGGATTGGGAGGATAGTCAGTATAATAGAAGGTCACATGTTACAGGAGCAGGGACCCCCCCAGTGCTTCGGGAAAACGTGAAGAGGGAGGGCCCAGCTGGCCCTTAAAATGCGACCCTGTGATTTCACGAGTCCCAGGTCAGGTAGAAAGGACCACACAGCCCAGTGTCCGAGGGACAGTCCCCGGTCAGTGGCCACTGAGCTGCTTTCTGAAGACCCCCATCGAGGAGGGGTCCACTGCCTCCCAGCGCAGCCCATTCTCCCTTTCTAGCCTCTTCCTGGGGGCTGTCCTTTAGATATTCCCAGTCTCTTCTCCGGACTTGATCAATGACGTCATCTCCAGCACCTTCAGATGACTCCGGCATGAGGCTGAGCCCCTTCCCTAAAGTGGGTGCCCTCCTCTGGACACTACAGATTATCTAGGCCCTTCCTCAAAGGTGGTGCCCAGAACTGAAGCCAGGTGTGGTCTAACCAGGGCACAGAATATCATCAAACAGAGGGTCCTTTGAGGGCTGTCCCGTGGCAGCCTCACACAGAGCAAGGAAGTTCATTCCAGGCACGGGCCTGAGCCATGGAATGCATGCAGAGGCACCAGGACGTGGGGAAGTGGTAGGAGTCCAGTTTGGCTGAAACAGAGTGGGCAAAGGAGAACAGTGTAAGTGAAGTATGCCTGGGAAGGCAGGTCACAGCAGCTAAAAAGGATTTATCCTGGGGGCACCGGGGAGCCACAGAAGGTTCTTGAGCAAGAGTTGTGTGGTCGGATGAGTGTCAGGGGTGACATGACAGGCTGGAGAAGGTGAGGCTGCAGGCTGGCAGACCCAGGGGACAATTACAACTGCCTGGGTGGGAGGTGATGCAGGCCCTAGCCAGGGTGGTAGCCTCATGAATGGAGAGAAGGGTGTGAATTGACAAGATTTCAGTCTCTGACTATATGAGGGTCAGGGAGGTGAAGGAGCGAGAAACACTCAGGCCTCAAACTCCAGTGACCTGAAGGCAGAAATGGGGACTTTGATGACTTCTGTGCCTGCACGGGGAGATGCCAAACACGGTGGGTCAGCCATGTGCAGAGGCGACAATGGAACCCGGGATGGACAGTTGATTTATCCGTATCCTTAAACGTGGCGCCCCCTCGTGGTCCAACCGAGGCAGGCACGCAGGCTTCACCTCTGACCCGCAGACCCCCAATGCAGCCCCAGAAGGTCTGATGCCATACCAGGCTGTCGAATCCTGGGCTTCAAACCCACCAAAACACTCAGAGCTTTTCAGACCAACTGTGCCCCCCCAGCCCAGCCCCGCTGAGCTCATGAAGCCCACTTTCTGAAGCAGCGCAGATTGACCCCTTGATACTGTCTCTGGGGAGCTCCCCCCAGGGCCTAGATAAGGGGGTCCCTGAACTTATCTTTTTTAAATTTTTTATTAATTTATCAACAATCACTTCCATAAGCTTTTAAATTTAAAATTTTTCTCCCCCTCCCTCCCCAAGACAGCCGGCAATCTGATATAGGCTCTACATATACATTGCTATTAAACATATTTTCACATTAGTCATGCAGTAAGGAAGAATTAGAACCAATAGGAGGAACCAGAAGAAAGAGGAAACAAAACAAAAGGAAAAAAATAGCAAATGGTATGCTTCGATCTGCATTCAGACTCCACAGTTCTTTCTTTGGACGTAGATGCATTTCCTGAACTTATTTTTAAAAAACATTTTGATCACTGCATCTCCTAACATTCGATTCCCTTTGTCATCCTCAGGAATTTGTGCCTTCTTGTATGCCTGTAAGATGACTGAGCGGGGGTCCTTGGGCTTCCCCAGGCTTCCTGCCCAAGGGGTCCTAGACTCACAAATGTTATTATTATTATAGCTAACATTTATATAGCGCCCACTAAGTGCCGGGCACGTGCTCAATGCTTCCTAATTATCTCATCTGACCTTCACAATGGCCTGGGAGGGAAGTGCTATTATTATCCCCGTGACCTGCCCAGGGCCACGCCGCTGGACCGAAGCCCTGGGCTAGGCTAGGCTATGCAGTCTCCTCTCCATCTGATGAGCGTGTAACTGTGCTGTCCTCCGACTCTGGGCACCCCCCTCTGAGCAGAATCACCGAGCACTCTTCGGGTTTGGTCATTTAACCAAGCGCAATGGCGCCCAACATCCCTTCATGCAGGCCAAGTCTCTGTCCTGGCCAGAAGAGCATAACAGATGCTGCGCACGATCGACATAAACAGTTTTGCCCACTGCCACTGGCTGCCAGGCTAGTGACCCCTTCTCGTAGGCTGGCCTGAGCTGGCCCTGCCAGAACCCCGGGGCTCCATGTGGTCACGTTCACTAAACACCTCTTTTCTGTGACAATCTGGAACAAGAGCTTACCACATCCTTCTGTCTCTTTATGAGAAAAGGAGGCCACGAAAGCGGTTTAGGCCAATGGTCTACTGTCTGAGATCCCCCAGGGCATGCTGTATCCCCACAGGGGACAGAGACCTGAGCTGCCCCCTGCCCCTACACAAACACCTGCTTACAACCAGCCCCAGAAGGGGCAGAGGCAGCGGGCCTTCCTGGAAGCAGGCACCCAGGAGGGGGGTCCCCCTCTTGTTTTGTACTTGCTGGGGGAACGCCATTATTCACTGGGCTACCAGCCCTCTCAGGAGTTCGTCAGGGGCTTCCCCCCAAGCACTGAGATCTGGATGGCCTTGCGTTATTTACAAAGGCAAACACACCTCCATTTATTAGAAGTCAGTGGAAATTTGTGTTTAGCAACAGTACAAAAATTGTCAGGGAAACAAAAGGCAGGACATCAGTGATTTCATGCAGACAGAACCTAAAAGGAAAAGAAGCCAATGAGTGAGACCCCAGGCCTTTCTGTTCCCTTCTTTTCCTCATCCTGCCCCCCGCCCCCCAGAGCCCTCCAGCATCCTGACTAGAGCCAAGGTCCCTGGATGTAGGATCTGCCCCCAGACCCCTTCAGGGTGCTGCTGTGGGAGAAATGACCCGTATTAAGTCCTGGAGTCAACGGAAACCAGGACACAGGTGACCGGTGCTGACCTGAGTCCCTGTCGGGCCAAGGAGGAAACTCAGGTGTGCTTCACACCAGGCCCACCACCCTCCCTGGAGTCAGCTCATCGCAGGGTCAGAGATTTAAAGGCCACAGAATCCAAACCCTCCTGTTTTTACATCTGGGGAAACCGTGGCACAGCCCTTGCATCCTAAGCGGTCTGAGCAAGCACAGGAGTGGGTAGTGGAGACGGGAGTAAGCGAAGGCAGTGCCCAGCTTCTGCCACAGCATTGTGTGCACGTGCCACGCTCTTACCGCAAGCCCCTCACACGTATATGCCGACCCAGAGCAGCAGGAAGAGGACCCCGAAGCCCATGAAGAGCGAGGCCACCAGGGAGATGAGCAGCTCCTTGTAGATGTCGCGGGTGTACTTGGTGGAGGTGACCTCGTAGCTGGGCCACTGTCAAGGAGGCTCTGACTCCGGGGGGCAGGAAGGACGGCCCAACCCCCCTCCCCAATCAGGCGGCCCCCCAGGACCCCTCCCCACTTCTGCTGCCCCCAGACAGGACTCCCTCTCCCCCCCCTTGGGACCCCCGGGGCGGGATACACGAAGAACCAGGCAGTGAAGAACATGCCGATGGCCAGCAGCACCACGGTGAGATGCGGAAACACTGCCGGGTTCACCGGGCTCGTGTATCTGCTCATGGCCTCCAGCTCCTGCGGAAACAGCGCACCGATTAGGCGCCTACTGCGTACCGACCCCGAAAGCTTGTGGCGTTGCGCGTCAGGGGCTCCCCCCGGTCCCAGGATGGGCCTGGGCCCCCCAAGCCCCGAGGAGAGACGCGGAGCAATGATGGGGAGCGGAGAGTAAACGTCTAGGTGGCGCCTACTGTTTGCAAAGCCGCCCTCTCCTGGGAGCTCGGCCACGGCCCTGGGAAGCAGCTGTGACGGTTGTCACCCCTGTTCTACAGATGGGGAAACTGAGGCTCGGAGGGAGGGAGGGTCTTGCCGGGCGGAGCGGCTGTAGGGGCTTGTGGGGAGGGACGCTCTCCAGAGCTGGGGCGGAGAAGTGCTGAGTTGAAATCCGGCCCAAGGCACTCTCTAGCTGGGTGACCCCGGACGTGCCTGCCTCGGTTTCCCCACCTGTGAAATGCCAGCGGGGGGGGGGGGGGGGAATCGTGGCGGGAATCCCGGAAGCCGCGGCCCCAGACTGCGGCTTAAAGAGCGAGGAGGAACCTAACCCCTCGTTTTTCTAAGTGGGTCAACTGAGGCACAGAGAAGCCAAGCGACGTCGCCCGACGCTTTGCAGGCCTCAGTTTCCCGGCCTGTAAAGCGAGGGCCGGGCGGGCTGCAGGCGGCGGCTGCGCCCTCCACCCGCGGCTGGGCCGGGGTCTCCCCGCGTCCCTCCCCGCGGCCCCTCTCACCATCCTGCCGGCAGCCGGGGTCTCTGCTCGGACTCAAGGACCGGAAGGCCACGTCTGCCGAGACAGGAACGGCGCCGCCGGAAGCGGGAGCGGAAGCGGAAGCGGAAGAGGCGCCTCCGCCGGCGCCCGCGCGGAGCCTCATGGGCCTCGTAGTCCCGCGGGCCGCCCCTGGAGCGAGGCATCGCCGGCCTGGACTACAAGTCCCGGCATGCCGCGCGCGGCGGGAGCGTCACGTGACGGGAGCGCGGGCTTTGGAAGGCGCCGGCGGCCGCCGCCTCGGAGCTGAGGAGGAGCGAGAGCTCGCGTTACCCCGCGACCCTAACGGACGCCCCGGTGAGTGGCTGCCGTGCATGGGTGGGGGGAGAAACTGAGACCGCGGGGGGGGGGGGGGGGGGGCCCGGGGGGGGGGGGGGACGAGTGCCCCGTGGGGCCCCCCATCTCCGTCTCCTCTTTGCACAAGTGAAAGCCTCCCCTCCCCCTCTTTGTACAAATGAGCGGGGCAGAGGGGACCCGGGAAGCAAGCCAGCGTTTATTAAGCGCCTGCTGTGTGCTCGCCCGTGGGACCTAGGGAAGGGAATAGGCATCTATTGGGCGCCTACTGCGTCCCAAGATCGGGTGACCCTTCCAACCACCCCGGGAGGTGGGGTTTGTTAGGGCCCCCATTTTACAGACGAGCAAACTGAGGCAGGCGGCCGGGAAGTGACTTGCGCAGGGTCCCGCAGCGAGGCCGTGTCTGGGCCGGCTTGGAACTGCTGCCCCGTCTTGGGACAAGTGGGGAAAATGAGGCAGGGGGATGAAGGGCGGGGGGCGTGCCAGGCATGGACCGGGGCAACACCGCCGGCATCGGGTTCGAATCCAGCCCCAGACACTTCTTAGCGAGGTGACCCTGGGCAAGTCATTTCCCCCCCTGCCAGCCTCAGTTTCCTCGTCTGTAAAAGCGGTATGAAAACCGCACTGACTTCCCAGGAGCAAACCAGAGGGCCCGGTATGCAGCAGGCGCTCTATAAGTGCTTTGTGTGAGAGGCAGGCTGGAGCGACTTCAAGGAAGCGGGGGGGGGGGGGGGGGGAGGGTCTCAGCAGCAGGAAGGAGGCTTGGGGGACAAGCAGAAGCTGCCGGAGTGGGAGATGTCCGGAGTGCACGGGCCCCCCAGACTTGGGATTGGCTCCTGATCCAAGCCAGCCCCCATTCTGCGGATGGGAACCTAAAGGACAGAAAGGGGAAAGGGGAGAAGAAAGGAGGGAAGGAAAGAAGGGTTGACTTAGTAAGGAAGCACCTGGGGTGTGCTGAATGATGGACAGAAGAGCGAGGCCCCGCCCCCGCCAGCTGCACACACACACACACACACACACA